CCACAAGTTCAGAGTCCACGACTGTCTCCTCCACCACAAGTCCAGAGTCCACGACTGTCTCCTCCACCACAAGTTCAGAGTCCACATCTGTCTCCTCCACCCCAAGTTCAGAGTCCACGACTGTCTCCTCCACCACAAGTTCAGAGTCCACGACTGTCTCCTCCACCACAAGTTCAGAGTCCACGACTGTCTCCTTCACCCCAAGTCCAGAGTCCATATCTGTCTCCTCCACCACAAGGTCAGAGTCCACGACTGTCTCCTCCACCCCAAGTCCAGAGTCCATGACTGTCTCCTCCACCCCAAGTCCAGAGTCCACGACTGTCTCCTCCACCTCCCTGAGTGTGAAAGTGACATCCACTCCAGACTCCAGTTCCACAGGAGCAAACTCAGGCTCAGCCTCCCCAGAACCAGAAACAGCCTCTCTCCCCAGCTCTGGCTCCCCAGGTTCTGAGCCGTCCACCATATCCCAATTCACAAGCTTGCTTCCACAAGGTTCACCTACCGTGTCCAGCCCCAGCCAGGGTGAGTGGAAGGTAGGGGGAGAGGGGGGGACGGGATGGACACAGGGCACAGGACTGGAACCTGGCCGCAATTCTGGCACCAGTCATCAGGGGGCGACACAGACCTGGGAGTGTGTGGGTCCATAGTATTCAGTGTTCTGCCTCCATGTATGCCTGCAGGCCAGAAGAGGGCACCAGGTCTCATTACAGATGGTTGTGAGCCACCATGTGGTTTCTGGGAATTGAACTCAGGACTCTGGACCTCTGAGCCATCTCTTCAGCCTGTTTGTGCTCTTATTAACTCACTAGTGTGTGCTGGCTCCTGAGGTCACAGCTATTGCAAGAAAGATAGGTTGCACTGTCTAGTTGTAGCTGCCTGCGGTGGCCCAGTCCTGTTTCCTAACACCAGGAGAAGGCGGCAGAAGGATCATCTCAAGTTTGAGAGCAACCTGGGCCACATGGTGGGTACCATCTTAAAAAAAGAAAAACAAGCCAGATGGAGATGGTGTGTGCCTTTAATCCCAACACTTGGGAGACAGAGGCAGGAGGATCTCAGTGAGTTTGAGGCCAGCCTGATCTACAAGAGCTAGTTCCAGGACAGCCAGGACTGATACACAGAGAAACCCTGTCTCAAAAAAGAAAGAAAGAAGAAAAAGAACACCCCACATGAAATTATATATTTATTTATAGAGTAATAGCACAGGCCCTGGCGTGTACCTCAGGAGTGGAGCCCCCCGCCAGGAATCCCCCAGCGAGGGGCTGAGGGCATGGCTTCGGCCAGGGCTGACCCTTTCCTCTCCCCAGATGCAGACAGCCTGTGGATCCCCACAGCACACAGGAACCCGGGCGTGGTGATCGCTGTCTGTCTGCTTGTGTCTGTCTTGCTGGTGGGCTCTGTGCTCACTGCTGTGAGACACTGTAACCGAGAAGCAGCAGCTTTTCAGAATCTGGACACAGTATCCATGGTGAGACAGGTGCCCTCTGGGTCGGGCGGCTTCTCATTAGACATTCACCTCAGGGAAGCCCTGTGCTGCTCAATGCTAACCCTTGCCTGTTCCTTTTCTAGGGCAGTGTGAGCCAGAGGCTGCCATTTGCTGACCACCTACAGTCCTGACTCTCAGAGGCCTGGAGATGGGGTGGGGCTAACACCTGGGAAAAGCAGTGGGGGAAAGTCCCCACTGCACTGACCTGGGGAAGAGCCTGCGGCAGGAGAATGGCTTGAGCCAAGGAGTTTCAGGACAGTTTGGCCAACACATCTAGTCCTCAACTCAAAGATCAAGTCAATCCAGGGGTGATGGGGTATACCCATCACTCCAGGACTTGGGAGGTAGAAACAGCAGGGTCAGGTGTTCAAGTCTACCCTAGGCTACATAGGGGGTTTGAGGCCAGCCTGGGCTACATGAGTCTCTGTCTTAATAAAAGAAAAAAATTGGGGAGCTGGAGAGATGGCTCAGTGGTTAGGAGCACTGACTCTTGTGCAGAGGAGCGGGGTTCCCAGCACCCACATGGCAGCTCACAACCACCTGTGACTCTAGTTCCGGGGGATCTGACATCCTTTCAGCTTCTGCGGTCACCAGACTCGCCGGTGATAGATACACAGGCATACATGCAGGCAGAACACATTTTTTTGTTTGTTTGTTTTTGTTTTTCGAGACAGGGTTTCTCTGTGGTTTTGGAGCCTGCCCTGGAACTAGCTCTTGTAGACCAGGCTGATCTCGAACTCACAGAGATCCGCTTGCCTCTGCCTCCCGAGTGCTGGGATTAAAGGCATGCGCCACCACCGTCCGGCAGAACACATTTAAAAAATAAATATAAACTAAATAAAGTCCTTAGTGCTCATAGATGCTTCCTGGGCCGTGCGTCCACGCAACCAATAGTAATTAGCGCCTATGCACCATATGCCACAGTCCTACAGGTGACCCTGTGTCTGCACTCCTGGGGGTGATGGCTGGAGGGTGGAGGAGCACTTAGATGGGACCGCAGGGCAGAAGGCATCCTTGTGTGGCCACTCTCTAAGGACATAGATGACCTAAACCTAATGGGAAGCAGACTGGGGAAAGCCACAAACCCACATCACTTTAAGATGCTCACATAGCTCCAGCAAAGGCCCTGTGGTAGGAGACGCATGGACTTGTTTAACATTGAAGAGCACAAGGCCTATGTAGCTGTGAAGGGAGGAGGGGCTCCTGATAATTGGAAGAAGATGAATTTAACAGCGAGCCTCAAGCCTCCTTGGGGCAGGAAGTGCCAACAGATTGCAAGCAGGTCGGGCGCCCCGCCCTGCAGGGGCTCCAGCTCGTGGTGGGTACCCTCCAGGCAGCCAGCTTTTCCAACACACCACTGGTGTCTTTGGCAGAAGATTTAGGGCCTGCCCTTGCGCTGTGGGCGAGGTCCTTAATCAGCGTAAGGAAGAAAATTCCCCCGACCCCCACCCGATAGGCTGCTCACTGACGACTGCTGGAGTAGCTCGAGGGAGACCTCATGGCCAGTCTGCGGGAGGCTAGGGTGAAATATTAACTTGGTTCAGAGGCACAGATCAAAGTGACCCAGGCCACAGTCCCCCTTCCAACCCCAGCTCTCTGGGTTCCCCACTTCCAACTGCAGCTCTAGCCTGTGGATAAAGTTTGACCTGAGAGAGCAGCACAGCAGAGCGGAACAGCTCTCTCAGAGCCTTGAGGGCCTTGATTGGTACCTCTGAAATGCCGACTCCGGGCTATTTCCATCCTCCATCAACCTTCTGCCTGGCCACTTACCACGCCTCCCTCCAACTCTGTCTCTGCTTCCCGGGGTCACACTCGGGATCACACACTTGGTCACACGTGGGTGCTCACACAACTTCCGGCCCTTGTGGTCACCCTGCCCAACCCCCTCCTCCAGTCCTGAGTGTGCCACCTGGCTCAGCTTGGGTCTACTGGGACAGGTCTGTCCTCTGCTCCTGAGGCAGTCACAGAACACACACGTGCCGCAGGTCCTCACAAGGGCAGCTTGCGGTGAGTACCAGATCCGTGTCAGCGTGACAGAGTCTTCTATCTGGGGAAGCTGATCTGGCACCAGGGTTTCTAGCCCCTAGGGCTGTCCGGGAAGGGTGCCAAGGGGAAGGCTGGATGTCTGCACAATCTCTTCGAGCAGTGTTGCCTGGCTGCCTGTGCTGGTGTGGCTTTAGGCTCCAGGGTGCGTGTATGTCCTGGCAAGCTGGCTGCCAGGGTCAGGGTCTTACTGACCCCTCCCCCATCTAGAGAAGCCTACATCATGAGGCTGAGTGGCATGCACCGTCCTTCCTGCTGGGTGAGGTGAGAGCCTTGGTTGGTCTGGGCTCATGGGGGAACCGGGACCTGAGGTTCCTGTAGTGATAGGAGCAGCGAGGCTGCATCCCAGGCACCCGGCCACCCGCATGGCTAGCTTATGCCCCGAAATAATTACACAGAAACTGTATTCTTTTAAACACTGCCTGGCCCATTAGTTTCAGCCTCTTAACCCATTTCTAATAATCTATGCAGCACCATGAGGTGCGCTTACCAGGAAAGATCTTAACCTGCGTCTGTCTGGAGTGGGAGAACCATGGCGACTCCTTGACTTAGCTTCTTTCTCCCAGCATTCAGTTCTGTTTATTCCACCCACGTAAGGGTTGGCCTATCAAGGGGCCTAGGCAGTTTCTTTATTAGTTAACCAATGAAAGCAACAGATAAGATACAAGACCCACCTCCATCAGGTTCCTGCTCTGGAAGGCCCAGAGTTGCTCCATGAGTTCATGGAGCGGGGACTACCCGGGATTCTGGGGAACCACTGAACCAAACCCACAGCCCGAATGCAAGATAGTTTTCATTTTTTTTTTAATTTCATGTATATAGAGGTCCTGCCGCAGTGCCTCCTGAGGACAGGAGAGGGTGTTAGATCCCCTGAAGTGGGAGTTTACAGATGGTGTGAGCCTACATGTGGTGCTGGGAACTGTAGAAGAGAGGCCAGTGCTCTTAACCACTAAGCCATCTTTCCAGACCCACCTTCATTGTTTTAGATTTATTGTTCATTGTGTGTGTTTCCCCAGTGAGACAGGGTCTCTTGTTGCCCAGGCTAGCCTCAGACTTTCAATGTAACCAAAGAAGACCTTGACCTCCTGGTCTCCCCGTGCCTCTACCTCTTGCATTGAGGCACTGAGATCACAGGCTGTAGTCAGCTTCTCGGGGAAAGCTGGAGGGAAGATGGGAAGATTTTCTGTGGAATTCAGAAGGGCAGGCAGCCCCAAGAGTCTGAGGCTGGCCAGGTGCTGGCCAGATAGCCTTTGACGTTAGCTAAAGCATCTATTTATTTTTGAGACAGGCTCTTCCAGCGTACTTGCTGTGTAGACCAGGCTAACCTCAAATTCACCAACATCTGCTTGCTTCTTCCCCTCTGCGGTGGCATCTCATGCCACCATGCTCAGCCTCTTTAAAACATCACAATTATTGCCGGGCAGTAAGCGCACGCCTTTAATCCCAGCACTTGAGAGGCAGAGGCAGGCAGATCTCGGTGAGTTCAAGGCCAGCCTGGTCTACAAGAGCTAGTTCCAGGTCAGGCTACAAAGTCACAGAGAAACCCTGTCTCGAAAATC